CTGCAGGCTCTGGAGCTAATTTTTCATCTCCAGCTAATAACCAACTTCACTCAGGCTGAAAAACAAAACAAAACAAAAAAGCAAACAAACAGTATAAAACAAAACCCAAACAAAATCACACCGTCTGGCGTGGAAGGGGAGTCCTAGCAAGAGCCAGAGACGGAATCCTGTGATTGGGAGCATTCTCTAAACCTTAAGGTGGGATCCTTTTGGGTTTAGCGACGAAATTAGACTCCATTAAATGAAAATGTTGTGCAACAATGCCACGTGATTTTTAAAAATTCCAAGTTTGCCTCCCACAGGGCTGCAGGCCCTTGTTGGAGACGGAGAGAAGCCTCTGCCTTGGACGGCAGGAAACAGGGAGGGTCTTCCCTTCCCAAGAAATACTGCAAAGGAGGCTCTAGAAGGTAGAGCCAGAATTGGAGAACAGAATAACTTCTTCCTCTCTTCCTAAATAGAGGCAAGGACGACAATTTGCTGTTTGTCTGACACTGTGAAACTGCGAGCTTCCAGCAGCTGGCTAAACGCTTACTCTGTCAGCAGTGAGGTCAAGTGCAAGCGCGTTTTTTTTTTTTCTATGCACAACCCGCGTTGTGGGTATGAGCAAGGCAAAGCGGGTGAAGGGTAGGAGGAGTTGAGAGGCTGGCGAAGGACGCCGGCGGCGGGGCTCCGGGATCCCTGAATTGCCCGCAGTTCCCCGCGCCTGGCGCTAGATGTCCCTGCAGGGTCTCTTCTGAGGGCACAGAAACTCCAGGCCGCCGGCAAATCTGTGAAGCCTCGGAGTCCAGGAAGAAAGTAGCCACCCCAGCCCTCACGTAAAACCTTCCTAGGGTAGCCTGGAATTGCAGGTGGAGGGGAGACAGAAAACGAAAATTAGCGGGTCGACCCAGGTGACGCAGAGCGCTGGGAGGCTGCGCTGGGAGGAATGGGAGCACCACGCTGCCCGCGAAGGCAGGTTACTGCAACCCTCATCTCTCTCCTGTAAAGCGAAAGCTGGTCCTGAGGATTGCACTTGGCCTAAAGAAAACCGGTCCGGGCCGCAGCTGAGACTCGGGAGCTGCTTACCGACCGTTCACAACTCAGCTCTCCAGGGAGCTTGAGACTCGCTTCGGGCTGAGAACTGGCGGCTCCCACTGGAATCTGCCACCGGGAAGCCCAGGGCAGACCGCCGCACCTCGCGGTCCTGCTGAGGCGCCCGCTGTACTCTCGCCCATCTACTGGAAATCCAGGACGAAATTTTACCTGAACTCACAGGCCAAGCGTTTACCACTTCATCAGGGAGACTTGCTGCTTACAAGAAACAAATACTTAGTTTGGAGGCCTAACCTCCCCCCAGGGGAGGGAAGGAAGGAAGGAAGGAAGGAAGGAAGGAAGGAAGGAAGGAAGGA